CACCACCAACAACAACAACAACACCACCACCAACAACAACAAAGACAACACCACCACCACCACCACCAACAACAACAACACCACCACCACCACCACCAACAACAACACCACCACCAACAACAACAAAGACAACACCACCAACAACAACAACAACACTACCACCGCCACCAACAACAACACCATCACCAACAACAACAAAAACAATACCATCACCACCACCACCACCACCACCAACAACAACAACAACAACACTACCACCACCAGCACCACCAACCACAACAACTCCACCACCACCAACAACAAGACAACATCTCCCTCACTTGCAGTCCGAGTTGGTGACGTAGAGGGACGAGTCGCTCTCACACCATGAGCTGAGGGCAAAGATGTTGCCGTTGACGAAGGCTTTGACAGGAGCAGGGCGAGGATTACTGACGTTCCACCCGACACAGACAGGGTTGTCCAGGTCACCGTTCCGGGTGACACTCGCCCAAAAGAGGAAGGATCCGAATTCTGAGGTGAAGTTCAGTGCTGAAACAACAGATGATGATAATAATGACAATAATAATAATGATAATAATAATAATAATAATAATAATAATAATAATAAAAATAATACTAGTAATAGTAGTAATAATAATACTAATAATAATAGTAGTAGTAGTAATAATAATTATAATAATAAAATAATAATAATAACAATAACAATAATAATAATAATAATAATAATAATAATAATAATAATAATAATAATAATAATAATAATAATAGTAGTAGTAGTAATAATAATTATAATAATAAAATAATAATAACAATAACAATAGCAATAATAATAATAATAATAATAATAATAATAATAATAATAATAATAATAATAATAATAATAGTAGTAGTAATAATTATACAAATATTGATACTAATGCTAATACTACCTACGTTTCTACTACTACTACTACTACTACTACTACTACTACTACTACTACTACTACTACTGCTGCTGCTGCTGCTGCTGCTGCTGCTGCTGCTGCTGCTGCTGCTACTACTACTACTATATTACTACTATTACTACTACTACTACTGCTGCTGCTGCTACTACTGCTACTACTACCACTACTACTACTACTACTACTACTACTACTACTACTACTACTACTACTACTGCTGCTGCTGCTGCTGCTGCTGCTGCTGCTGCTGCTGCTACTACTACTACTACTACTACTACTACTACTACTACTACTACTACTACTACTGCTGCTGCTGCTGCTGCTCCTGCTGCTGCTGCTGCTGCTACTAATACTACTACTACTACTACTACGATGCAAATTTGGAGTAATTGTCTTTAGTCAGAACACAACGTTTTATGTCACTGTTGTACGTTGTACTGTATTGTAAAGCGCTCAGAGCTTGTGTACTTTAATCGGGGTTGAGCGCTATACAAAAGTCATTTATTATTTATTAAAACTACTACTACTACTACTACTACTACTACTACTACTACTACTACTACTACTACTATTAACAACAATAACAGGAAGAAGAAAAGGAGGAAAAAGAACAGACTGACAGAGAGATCACAGCGTCATAACCTTCCCACTGACCTGTATACCTAACCAGAAACTCCTGGTCGTCAACACAGCCGTCTCCGTTAGTGTCGAAGTTGTTTTTGAAGTCGGCCATTCTCTCCGGTATGGTCATCTGGGGAGTGGGCAGAAGGTAGACAGTGGGTCATGTTTTAGTCAAAGGAAGCATACCGGCTCAAAAGTAGACATTGTTTGAGGCTATAGAAGCATTTCGGCATAAAAATACGCATTGTTTGAGGCAATGAAACTGTAACGACACAATAACCGTCAATGTTTGATGTCCCTCCTACAGGCCACTCGCCTTGCTACAGACAGACGCCTGTGTCTCCCCGCGACACCCACCGGTACAAGCGGAAGAAAAAAGTCAAGTAAGTTTGAGTCAATAGAAGTGTGCCGACACATTAACCGTCATTGTTTGAGGCAATAGCAGTGAACCGACTCAAAAGTAGGCATAGTTTGAGGCAATAGAAGTGAACCGACTCAAAAGTAGGCATAGTTTGAGGCAATAGAAGTGAACAGACTCAAAAGCAGGCATAGTTTGAGGCAATAGAAGTGAACCGACTCAAAAGTAGGCACAGTTTGAGGCAATAGAAGTGTACCGACTCAAAAGTAGGCATAGTTTGAGGCAATAGAAGTGAACCGACTCAAAAGTAGGCATAGTTTGAGGCAATAGAAGTGAACAGACTCAAAAGTAGGCATAGTTTGAGGCAATAGAAGCGAACCGACTCAAAAGTAGGCATAGTTTAAGGGAATAGAAGCGAACCGACATAATAACGGCCATTTTTCTAGCAAAGAGACGTATGATAATAAAATCGACCAAATAGTGGTCATTGTTTAAGTCAGGAGAGGTATATCGACATAATAACGGTCATAGTTTGAGTAAAGAGAGGTATATCGACATAATAACGGTCATAGT